GCGGGGTACCCGGGGGTGAGCGCCCTTCGGGGGGCGTTTGCGGGGTTAGACAGACCGGTAGCGCGTGTGGGGACCCCCGGCTTTCTTCCCACGGGCCTCCGTGCTCTGAGGGACACGGCGACTGTCCCTTAAGTGGCTTTTCAGTTCGCACACGGCGTCTGTGTGGCCATGCCGGAGCCAGGTGCAGGAATTAAGGCAGGAAGTGGGCAGCGAAGGTGGCGCCAGGTCGCAGCCCTGTCTGGTCACGCGTCTGTGACACCCGCAGCCCCGGCTGCCAGTCACCCTCGTGGGGGCCGGGCCCGCTCGCTCCTCCGTGGACGGTCCCCGCCGAGGCTGTCGGACTCGCCGACGGGCGCGAGGGCAGCAGGGACAGCGCAGGAGGGCCCGTCCGCGGCCCGTCCCTCGCCTCGCTGTCCCCAGCAAGGCAGACCTGCGTGTCCTGTTGCCACGTGAAGCCTCGGAGGCCCTCGCGGTCCCCGCATCCTCGCATAAGGCCCGGCCTCTGGAGGGTCCCCACGGGACCTGGTCACCTCCCTCGGGCCGCCCGCCTCTGTCACAGCTGCGCTCCCTTCTCTCCTGTCCACCTGACCGACTCTTTCAAGGGTCAGTCTCAGCTACGTCCCGGTAGCCCTGCTGAACCCCCAGGTGCGTGTTGGGGTCCCTAACAGGGAGGGCTGGGGCATCACAAGCGTCTGCCCCATGGTCCTTGCAGTCTGGTGACACTCTGGAAATTCAAACCGAAATGGCGGCCAGTAGCCCACGTCCTCTCGAAAAACAGTCAGGGTGGGACGCAGTCTCAGCGGGACTGTGACATGCAGGTCGGATGTGGTTTATAACCGGTTCAGCTTCAGAACTGCTGGAATGTGTTGCTCTTTAGACTCTAACATTTACTGTCATTGCTGTGTTGAAATTCACCGTGTAGAAAGGGGGAAGTTTGGGGCGCACCGACCTTGCAAAGGTGTCCATGGTTTTAGTCACAGTCTGTCAGTGACTGCTGACACATTCATTTAGAGTGAAATTGGAGTTAAAAAGAAAAACCCTTTTTAAAATGGGGTGTGAGTAGTGTTGGCATTCTTGTGGCTCCTTTCAGCGCCCTGGCTACTCCCAGGGAGCACGTTCAGGATGGGCCTGAAATGAGACCGCGGTGGACGCCCGCAGACAGATGCTTCAGTGCCACGGTCTCCCACCCCTCCGTCTCTCCTGACTGAGCCGCACGAGCTCTCGGAGGAGACAGACACACCCGCGGCCTTTTTGCCGAGATGCTGGGTTTGCCCCTGCAGGTGACAGCGTGCTGGAGCGCGGGCGTTTCCCGCTCCTCGCGCCGCGCCTCTGCCCCTTCCTAAAGGCCACGCGCTCGCCGCAGGGATCTCGGTTCCACAGAACTGCTCTGTGAGCGGTCACGGCTCCGGCGGTCACTTCGTCCCTGTGCCTGCCACGGGCACAGCCAACTTGCGGGACCCTTGTGCCCCAAAGCTGGAAGGGCCCAGACTTTGGAGTCGTGTCTTGTTTTCTCTGTAATTAAAGCTGGATGCAGCTGTGGATTCATGGGCTGGAAACCCAACCCCCCTTGCTAAAAAAAAGGGCAAAATATGTTTATTTACATTTCAAAGCTGGCTCTACTGGAGCACAGGTTTGGGCTGGAAACCCAACCCCCCCTTGCTAAAAATAACAAGGTGACCTTGACATTAACTCCAAATGCCTCACCCGCTTGTCTACCAGAGCCCCAAATTTCATCCATAAATGTTTTTCTGTAACCACGATGAAATTCTTAAGACTGTTTAAAAATTGCTTTCCCTTCCCAAGGAGAAAGGAAGTAATTTTGCCAATAAACTTTTCAATAGCTTCAGTGACTGGCTCTGATGATAAAGGGGACTGTGTATATTACAGAACATGTGAAAAGTAGAACAAAATAGAATGTGCAGTATCAAAAGTAACTCTTATGACTTAGCATGTTCCCCTCCTAGTTTTTCCCCCAATGTTTTCAGTTGTGAAATATAATGCTGTGTAGTACAAATGTAGAGCTTGGGGATTATAAAATTACTTTCCGTTTAAATAGGTCAAGAAATATAAAACCACGTGTCATGATCATCCTCCATAAGAAAGCCCCAATATGACTTTCATTGAAGTTTTATTCCCTTGCTGTTCACTGTACCATTAAAATATAATTTTATTATTGTCTGGTATTTAATATTTAAATACATCAAGTCATGTTATATTTTTATCTTGGATGTCGCTCAACAGTATGAAGGTAAGCCTAGTCCACATTTTGGATGCAGCTAGAGCCTAATTGTTTTCACTGCTGTATAGTATTCCACTCAATGCACTGTTGTTTACATTGTGTTCGACTTACACCCAATGGTTAAAAACAGTATGTTTCTTTAATATTTTCCTTCTGTGGTGGAATTACATGATCACTAGAATTTCCTGCTTTCATCATTGAACACTGTAACAAGTATTTTCCATGTCGTTAAAATCTATTCAGTTATTGTGTCCAATTTTTACATTTAAATTTGCATATATTTTCATTTTACTTAGATAGCTTCAAATCATTTTACTGTAAATAAAGTTCTGGTGAACATTTTTAGACATGAAAGATTTTTTTTATCTGTTGAAAACATTTCCTTAGGTCATTTCCAAAAATAAAATTACTATTTCCGTTGAAAATTTCAGTATTTTTTAATTCAAAGTTCTCTGCAGAGGTGTCTATGACCTGATTTCTCAGAAGAATGAGGATATATTTCCTCTTCTCACGTTTTAGTCTATCTGGTTTTCTTCTTCAAGGCTTCGGACTCAAACTCCCTCGGTGTACCTGCTCTTGCCCCCGAGCGTGGCCCTGCCCCCTGTCTTTGCCCCATGGGCTGTCACCGCTGTTCTCAGCTCAGTCACTTGACTGTGTCAGCAGGACGCCTCACGGCCTCTGGCCTTACCATCTCGGCCCTTTTCATACTCCTCCAGTTCGCTGCTGTCGGCAGGTTGCTGTATCGCTACTTCTTGCCACCAGGTGGCGGCCTATCCCGTTTTATGCACTTGGTCCCCTCTGGCCTTTCCATTGCTCTTTGGCCCTGAAACACTCCTGCATTTTAGTCATAATGTACCTGCGTACATTATTCTGTGTTTGGCCCAATTCCCTCGCACCTCATCCGGTTTCTCCACTTTTCCCACCCCTGTCTGTTATCGTAACCATTCCTACTCGTTATTATTCTGTTTTCCCAATATTATATGTCCAAGCACAAGGCAGGGCCACTCGCTCTTCGTGCTCCATTCACAGCAGTGTGCCGCTCTGCTCCGCCACTTCCTGTTTCACTGAGGCTCAAGGAGCGGCAACTTCCGGTTTTGCTTGTGATTCCAACCGCGATTTTCCCACGTTACCACCCCGGTCCACAAGGCGGCGACACTCTCCCCGCGGAGCGGCAACTTCCGGTTTTACTCGCGATTCCAACCGCGATTTTCCCACGTTACCATCCCGGTCCACAAGGCGGCGACACCGGCTCCTCGAGCTCATTTAGCAGCAGGGGGCCGCTCTGCTCGACCACTTCCGGTTTCAGTGGTGCTCATGGAGAAGCAACTTCCGGTTTTACTCGC